TGATGATTAGTAACGAGATGGGAGGATTTCAGAAGCTTTTCAACTGCAGGGAAGATCTCGGGCTATAGAAACTGTCACGGCAGCATCCTTTTTGTTTCTTTCCCTTCGCTTTCGTGTATAAATGTTGAATGGATTATGTTCTTCTCTCACTTTTTGTCAAACTGTTCCACAGCATTTTGGTCCACATTTATTCAGAACGATTAAATTTTTCTAAAATAGGATAAATGTCAGATATTTCTAAAAACATTTATATAATTTCTAATAATTTTCATTCTCATTACTGTACAATAGTTAACAACGTACTTTCTGTCCATCACAACTAGCAGTAAAGGATTCCATTTCTCCTTAACTTTTTCATCATCAATCATTTTATTTCTTATCTACAAAGTTGGTTTAATAATTTATATAAAAAAAGAAAAAAATTAATAACAATAATAACAAAACAACAATTTCGGTATAAAAAACCGCGTCGGTTTTTACAGTTTGAAACAAAAGAAGACAAAGAATCAAAATAACTGTTTAAAGTTCAAACAAAAACAAATTGACAAATATAAATAAAGTCAAATGATTACTAAAGTAGGTGAATGAAAAATAAAACTGGATATAGAAGAAAAACAAAGACTTAAACATGTTTTTAGAAAAAGCCGAAAAACGTTAGAAACTTTATAAAATACAAATGTTTTGAGCAGAAAAAAAGCTGAAAAAGTAATTTGATGATTCAGACATGTGATTATGGAGGAGTGGGTGTTGTTACTGCTGGTACTCGTAATCGAATTATTGCTTTTCGTCGGCAAAACTGACATTGTTCTAATTGTTGTCCATCTAATTTTGCAAAACATTCTCCACAAATTTGACAATGACCACAATCATATTCATGTGTACTTGGATTTGTCGAACAGAAAATACAACAATCAATGATATCTTCAGGATGTACTGATAAACTTGGTTCCACTTTTACATCAAGACGACTTGGTTTTACTACTGGTAGACGTTTTCGTTTACGCATAGTTGGACCTAAAAAAAAACAAATATCCAATAAGCATCGTGTACACATTACTTTTTCTTTAAAACATACCACTTTTATCCCAGACTATACGTTTTATTTCTTTACCATCAATTTTTTCCATTTTGAATTTAGCTTCCGGTACTAAGAGAAAAATAAGTTATACATCAAGTACGTTACTCTTTTCATTTCATCCTACTTCTTCCATTTTCCATCACTATTCGATTCACAAAATCGATGCCTCGTTGCTGTTGAATATAATCGCATAATGGAAAGAAACAAGCATGTTCTTCAAATGGATCATCTCTTGGTTCAAAATTTTGAAGTTTATTACCTAAACGAAAAGAACATCTTTTCTTTTTTTGATAATACTCGACTTTTAAATTTGAACATACCACAATAATAACAGCAAACACACGTTTCTTTTCCCAAATAGTAAAATCCGGCGGCTGCCATTAGTTCCTTGCTGAGTCTTGTGCCACCGGGATATACCCATCCGGTATACGTTTTTAACCGTTTTTCAATTAAGTTTAATGATGGATATTCAGGATATTTCATTCGGCTGTCTTCTAGTGCAACATTAGCATAAATACCAAATGATTCCCTTTTAACTAGTGTACACCATGGACGAGTATTATCAATTAATTGTCCACTAGCATGACGATGAACCCGCATTGGTGTCCATGGTTCACTATCTGAACCTTCGGCACCATGTTCCATATGATATTTAAACTCATTTACTGTCAATTTCACTTCACAACATGGACATAATAATGCAGTACCTTCACCATTTAAATAAAAACCACAATAAGCTAAACATTCAATAGGCACGCCCGCAAATGTTTCTAAGTTATATTTTTTAAATGTATCACGACGATTCTTTTCATGCGCCAATTGGGATCGAACATCAACAGGTGACGATTGAGTTGATGGAGATATATCATTGACATTATCAGATAAACTCTCACCACTTGGTTCACGTAGTATTAATGGTGATTGTTGGTTTTGAGCAGCAGCTATCATTGGATTAATCATAAAACCTGATGTATTATTAGCTGAATCCGATGTTGACAAGGTTGTGGGAGATGTAACCCGTTCAGAACATTGACTTGCCCTCCTTGTTGTCTCACTGGGTGACTGTAATACCGGTCGCGGAGATTTTAAGTATGGTTCAATTGTAGCAGATGTAGGTGGAGCGGGTACTGTTGCTTCATATTCTTCACCGGATGAATCTTCAGGAAAGTCAGAATTATACGGTTCATCGAATAATAGTTTGGGTGGATTGAGACCACTAGTTGTTGGTGATATTATTGATGAAAATGTTTCTATGGATGATTGTGTTACCATTTCTGAAGTTTGAGTTGTAAATGGATGAGCATGTACAATACCTCAAAAAAAGGATCGAAATGTTAAATAGTCTAATTTTTCCCCTAGGAACGCAATCAGTACAGACGTCTAGTCTAAAAATCAAAATAAAAGGTATGTCATCTCATTCTAGCATTTGTTTATTTAACCCTTGTACTACTAATCAGGGTCCAAATGGACCCTGTTCTCGGAAAAATGAAAATAAAATGAAAATATTTTGTTCAGAGCTCCGGTTTTCGCCATGCGAAAGAGGAGACTTGAGGGCATATT